TGAAAACTGGGAAAAGCACAAGCAGCACTGAGTTAAATCAGCACATGAAAAAAACATCAAACTTAGTTATTTTTCTTGTTCTTATTAACAAAACTGTTATTCTTTGCAGAACATTTTTTAGTTTTGATATTACTCATGGTTTCATACATTTAGGAGGTTGTGGCTTTCCTTCATACACCTGTGCACACAGAGAACACGGTTACAGACATGGACATCTGGCGGATTCGCTGTGAATAGCTGCTTATTACTGTTCGTTGTCCTTGTTGTGGCGAGGTTGTTAGGCAGTTCTGCATCGCAGGTCTTGGATCCTGGGGTCCTTCTGTATGGAGTTTGCATGTCCCTTCATGTCTTCACTGGTTTTCTCCTGATGCTCCGGGTCCCTGCTGTCTCCCAGAGACATGCTGGCTGGAATACCTGGAGCCTCCAGTTCCTGTGTGGATGGGATTCACCTCAGATGGGTTGTTATCCAGTGCAGGCTGTCGTCCTGCCTTGTGCCCTGTGCTTCTGGGATTGGCTTCAGGTGGCTGTGACTTTATAGACAAGGCCATTCGACCCCTCCAGCCCATTTGGGAGTAGTTCCTCGATCCCAGGATCTCATCCAGACTTTTCTAGAACGAAGTCAGGGTTTCGGCTCCAACCACATGGCTAGGTAGCATGTTCCATGCTCCCACCATCCTGTGTGTAAAGAAGTATCTCCTGTTCTTCCTTTCATCTGCTCTTCCCTGTCATATCCTCTTAACTTTGTGTTCAAGGATTCTTATCAGCAACAGACAGCTTTCCAACCGTAAGTGGATGAATATTAGGAAGAGTACTGTTATTACAATCATTATTATACATATCGCGTTATTAGCAGTAGGAGTGTTATGAATGGGGTTTACTGATGTTCTGAGTGAAGGGTTACCTCTAACTCTGTCACGCCCAACTAATTATCAATATACTGTAGGTAACAGTCACCACCTTCCCAGCATGCACTGCCTGGCATCACTCCCTCCTTCCCTGCATGCCTCTTGGCTCATTCCGAAGGCCATCCAGTCAGCTTGGAGCCAAGCCTAATCTGTAACTCAAATCTTCTTAACACTAGTTTGTCTAACACTACTGAGTCATTATTAGTCATAACAAAAGTAGCATTAGCCATATTAATGTAATTCTGATTCTTAACATGAATAAAGGTACAAGCAGAAATATTGTTTGTCGTTATTTATTTGCTCAGCAGGCAGCATCAGACAGACAACTTACATTGTACACACTTCGTTTACACTTCTGGTAAAATCAAAGGAAACAATAGATATGATCATGTGCCTGTGCAACAGATCAAGTCAGTAACATCACAGCAGAGCGAGCACAGTGATGCTGGAAGTGAATGCAAGACTACACACAAAGCAAGAACTACCGAAACACAAGCAGCACATTATTGCAAAATGATCTGGCTGAGGTGATGTACATTTTCACCCATTAATATATTTTATTGGATATTTTACAGGAGTGTTTTAGGTGAAGTGTAGAGCTACTAATCTCTGGAGACGAAACCCTTCTCCACACACAGACACGTGTGGTATTACTTACACACAGCACAAACACAAATAATACAAAGCAGCCCTGCAGACACACTCCATGTTCACAGAGCATAAGAGCACCAAGCAATTAGGAATTAAAACAGCAGCACAGTAGGAATAGCATCATGCTTTTATTCTTTTCCCAAACGATTCAGCAGCGCCTGCTAGCAATTTAACAGTATAAACGGTCAATGATGACCTTCAAGTGAAAGACAAAGTGGGGAAAGGGACCAAGGAGGTCTGGTTGGTTGTGTCTTGGCTGAGCACCAAGTGCAAGTGCATGCAGTTCAGTGACTTTGAGAGGTGCTGTATATGATGTGAATCTTCATCTTCATCGCTTTGCAGACCTCTTCTCCCTGCTGTGCTCTCTCGAAAGTTAGACTGCGACACAGAGCACAGCTCTGGAAGGTTTGACAGCTCCTCGCAGAGATAACCATCTGAAAATTTTGCAAGCCGGAGACCTGACAGTTTTCTGGAAGAACGAGAGTTTCTAGCGTGGGTTTCCGAAGGAAGAGGGGAGGAAAATTAAAGGTCTGCACCTTGCACTGATTTCCCGTCCCTGTGCGTGGGTTAGCGTGGAATTGTGTGTGTGGGGCGGGGGCGCACCGTTCAGATTCCGGAGCAGTGAGGTCACCGCCGATGGGCGCGATGCCCACCTCCCCCGCACCCCTGCCCCAGCAGATCATCAAATCGCACCCAGATAAATCAGGCCAGCGCCGCTATTGACGCAAACGCGCCCCAACACAGATGCCAGGTGGCCAACCACTCTGCACGCACCATCAGATCTGGGCCCGAAAGAGCCAGCCGCAGAAACAACAAGACAGCGAAGATGCAGAGAGATGGCTTTGTCATTTCTGGAAGCTGTAGGTATCAATGGAAAAAGCCGGTTACAGTAAGAACCGAAGGAGTGGGGTTGATGTAAATCAGCTCCCTGATCTCTGACGGGCTGTATTTGCAATTTTGGTTTTTCATTCTGCTGTTGCATTTCTTTTTTCGTTGGTACCTGACCCAGTGCTTTTCTCAGTGGGAACGGCCATCCAAGGAACAGCAGACTGGCAGCTAACAGCTTCACAAACCAGGAATTCACCTTTCACTAGGAATTTACTAACATCACTACCTGCTGATGAAATCCTTTTCTGGGCGAAGGTTTAGCAGGGTGAATTTGTACAGTATTTTGGCATTCCATGTTTTTATAGCATGCATTTTCTGCGTTTTATAGCATGCTGTGCATTTGTGCTGCCGTCTTGTATGATCTTTGTGACCCCTATGGTCTGCATGTCTTTGCCGTTCCTTTAGTGTGCATGACTCCAGTTTGTGAGAATCAGACCTGCCCTCATTTAGGCCTGTTTGTAAACCAATTAGCAAAAGCAGAATCACCGTGTTGAGTGTTTGATGCCTGGTCTTTCCCCCTCGTGTCTGTTCTTCTGAAGTCAGAAATAAGGGAACAATCCCTAATTAGCAGTTTGAGGAGGGAGTGCACATTGCCTGTGTGCTGAAGTTGTTTTAAAGAATGTACTTTAAGTGTGTACTTTCTGAAAACAGTGTTTAAGTGATTATAAAAGTCTAAACAAGCAAGAAGACCAGTTACATCTCCCAGTTAGTCCTGGTGGAGGTGATAAGGGTCCAAATGGAATGAGACCCCTCAGACACAGGGCTCGCCGGCCCAGAATGGAGAACCACCACTGAAGCGCATCAGCTCAGCGGGGCGGGCAGGTCACGGAAACCTGTCTGCCCTTCCTCCTCCTTCCCCTGCGCAGTACAGGGTCAAATACAAACTGCGCAACTGGAATAAACAGTAACCCATTAGAACTCCACAGTCACAAGAAGAAAACATGAGATTCGACTTAATAACTGCATACAGCACAAAGACTCATAGTGAAAGATTAATTAGATGCTCTATGGTAGCACTTTAGAATAAGAGGCACATGTTAGCCATTTATTTAATTATATACTTAGCTAGGTATTTATTTCTCGACGATAATGTGTCATGCAACTCACATTAATAAAGCAGTTAAATACCTTACATGTGTCACCTATTGCAATGGGGAACCTACTTTACAGCTTGATGGGGCTGTTTTAATACCAGGAAATGAAGATGAAAACTTTGCAATTGATTGTAAGTGGTTCCAAATACAGGTCTCATGAGTTTGCGATTCACAACAGCTTCACAGGCAATGGAACAAGCTTCAGCTGTGAGTCTACATGGGTATTTTTCAGCTCCCAAAGAAAGGTCTCTTCCTAGTGAAAGTTCACCTGAGTTGACATTGTAGTTTTTAGATTCCCCATATGGTTTCCCAAAACTTAACTCTGCTAATGCCTGCTCTTTGCCTCGTTTTCCAGGTTTGTATCAGCTCCGCTTCACCCAGTCTCTGTGTGTTAGCTCGGTCTTTGACCTGATTGCACCACAGAGTACTATGGTAAACGTCTGGGGCTGCAGAAAGCATGTACTGTACCATTCCTTCTCTGGAACTGCAGCCCAGTCATCTTCTTCAAAACTGAAACCTTGCGTTACTAGGAAAAACAAGCCTGCTACCTTAGTTTTCAGTTTCTCTTTGAATCAGCTCCTCACAATGCCTCTGAAATTATAACCACCCTACTGGTTTACATTAAACAGAGATTAAGAAGTGTGTTAGGAGCTGCTTCTCCGATACTGGTTTCACTCAGAAAAGAACATCTTCTGAAGAATTTCAGCGCAATAGTGAAAGTGATGATTACGGAGTAATATCACTTTATGACAGTTTACCAGGGTACATTTTCTGACCTCATATTGTGTCATTGCTTTACAGAGATAAAAGCAATCTGGGTAAAGCTTAATGCTAGGGGGTTGCAGTTTCCATTTATAAACACTTCATAACCTACTAATGAGTAAGGTGAATGTTTATTACTACTTCATGAATAGCTAGTTTCTTCTGCAATTATAAATTGTCATTTGTGTCTCCTTCACTAAAATATTACCAAAACAAATCAGATGAAATTGAAGGGTTTTGTATGATAGTAATAAGTCTCTGTGTAATAAGCAAAATCCTTGTAAAATCACAGAGCTGTGCAGTAAAACTGAAATCATGGTAAAATCACAGAGCAGTGCAGTAGAACTGTGAGATCATGGTAAAATCACAGAACAGTGCAGTAGAACCGTGAAATCGGTTCCAGATTGAGTAAACCACTGTGCACCTTATGACGCACAGCAGTTCCATAAAATGCAACTCAGCTTTATTTGTTAATGTTTCACAGTGACATGTATTTTAATTGATCATTATCCCGATTTGTCCCGATGGATCATCAGTCACTGACCCGGTGCTCTCTTGCTCTGGTCCGTGACAGAGGAAGGAGGGAGCTGGATCGCCGCGCACGGCTCCCATTCCCTTCCCGGGCCTGCCCACAGGAGCCCCGCTCTCCTCCCCAGGCGCGAGTGCTGGATTTCACCCGTTTCCCCTTCCTGTCCCTCAGGTTGGATGGAGAGCCCTGACGCGGATTTGGAACCCAGCCCATCTCTCTCTCTTCGGCCTCTCGCCCTCGTGACCCCCCCCTCGGCCCCGACCCCCCCGCGATGGCAGCGGCGCCAGTGACGACAGTGAGGCTCCGCAACCCCCAGCACTGCTCCCGCATGCTGCGGCGCGCCAACGAGCTGCGGCAGGCGGGCACGCTGTGTGACGCGGTGATCGTGGTGGAGAGCCAGGCCTTCCACGCCCACAGCCTGGTGCTCGCCTGCGCCAGCAGGAGGCTGGAGGGCCTCCTGACCCGGCCCGGGCCGCAGCGCTGCAGCCTGGACTTCCTGTCCCCCCGCACCTTCCAGCAGATCCTGGACTACGCCTACACGGACACGCTGGAGGCCCCGGTGGAGGACCTGCGGGTGCTGCTGCAGGCCGCCCAGCTCCTGCAGATGGACCAGCTGTGGGACCAGTGCCACATGCACCTGCAGTCCCTCAGGGAGGCAGACAGGGGGGAGGCGGGCGCCCCTCGGGAGGAGGAGGAGGAGGAGGAGGAGAAGGCCGGGGCGGGGGAGGCCCAGGAACCGGCCGGCGCCCCAGAGCCGAGCCCCGTCCCCGGGAGCAGCAGCCCCTCCGACTCCCCTCCTTCCCCGAAGAGAGCGAGGCCGGAGCGCGGCCGCCCAGCTGCGGCGGCGCCCCCCAGAGGAAGCGTGATCGCCAGCACCAGCCAGCTGGGCGAGTGGCCTGCCGGCCAGAGGGTGGCGCTCTCCAGCGCCGACTGGCTGGCCCTCCACACCCTCCACGCGCGCGGCCCGCACCACCCACCCTCCCTGCTTGCTTACCCCTTCCAGCTGGCCCCCCCCGTTTTCCCGCTGCTGGCCGCCTCCCCGCCGCGGGCGAGGGAGCCCATCCTGGACTACTCCAGGTTCCTCCAGCCCTTCCGGCACGCGGTCCTCCCGGGCGGCATGGGCGTGGGCGCGCGCGAGCTCGGCCTCAAGCACGGCCAGCTGGGCAAGGGCAGCTCCGCCAGCGGCGCAGTGATGGGCTCCGTGCCCGTGGAAGACCAGGCCAGGTGAGTGCTGGGCTCTCTGCTTCTCCCAGGCCTGGAGAGCCCACCCTCAGTGAGAACCCTTCTGAGCTCCGATTCCCATGTACAGTAGCTCGCTGTGCTCAGAATGTCCCTCATTTGCCTACAGTGCTGCACAGCTCACTGAGTCACAGGTGTGTGTCGCTGTTTTCCCCCCTCTGCTCTTGTACTTTCCCGTGATTGAATTTTCCCTCTTCGGTTTCACTTTCCCTCCCCCCTGACCTGGTCCTACTGTACAGTTTGCCCTGGAGCAACGGCTGCCACCGGCCCACTTTCACAAGCCGCCTGTTCCAACGCTGCTTGGAACGGCCTTCAGAGGAAGGTCAGGCGCTTTTTTTAGATGAGGCAAGAGCCAGATCAAATCACTGGTTCTCACTCTCACTGGGGCTCTGCACCCGCCCTTGCTGGCATAAAGGACCTGTCCAAGCCCAGGCTTGGTTCTGGAGAGGAGGGCGCGGGCTTGTTGACACTCCTACTGTGTGCAACCCCATCCGTCCGGGGGAAGAATGGCCAGCGAGAGGGAGAGGTTTAATTCCAGGCCTGGAGAACAGGGTGGAAGGCCATGCGCAGGTGTAGAGGGATTTTCTGGGCTGTTGTGATGTTGTAACAAGACAAATTCTGCACCCAGTCTGCTTGGCAGGTGCGTTATGTAGACAGGGGCTGAAAGAATGATCTCCACTCCCCCTCAGGCCCAGGCTCGGCTCGTGCTCTGTGCCTCAAGGCTGTTTCTAGCCTCGAGGAGATCAGTGCTGGACCTGTGTACGGAGCAGTGCTGGACGTAGACTGAAGGGGTCTACGCTACACTGCTGCTGTTTGTTCACCTCACTGGCCAAGATATTAGGATCCCTCGAGAATCTTGCATCATATATAAAAAAATCAATTCGGAAACAGGTGATAAGACTCACACGACAAAACGGGAAATGCAGTGCAAAACCTAAACAAAAACGACACCTTAAGAGCCAAACATTTGGCTGCCAGTACTCAGGAGACCCCTGGAACACATGACACCCTGTACAAGCTGTTAGCAGCACTGTGGGCGTTACTCAGTGGGCGTTCCTAACATTTTGGCCAGTGTGTCACTGCTTCTACGGCTTCTGCTTCTGCTGCCTCTAACCACTGCTGTTGCTGTTTCCCCTTACAGTACCTTTACTGCCACGAATACTCCTCTACTGCAGCAGTTACTACTACTGCTACTAACAATAGTAACAGGGTTGTAACTAATTCTGCTGCTACTGCCGCTGCCAACAGGATGTGTTTATTTAACAGTGCAGCTACTGCGAATTAGCTTCTGCTGCTGTTTTTAGTAGTGTTTCTACAGGTTATAACACTGGAAACTAGGCATGCATCGGACATTCCTTCAAGGTGCAGCCCAAGGAAGCGGTGTTGTCCAAGCAAAGCGAATTTCCACTCGCATGCCTTCGCTCTGTGATCCGGCTGACAGCTGAGCACCATGCCGCTGTCTCCCCTCTGTCTCCCGGACGCTTGGGGAACAGGAGCGCCATGCTAGGTCTTCCCCCCTTCCATCCCGGACGTTTGGAGAATCCCTTCTCTCCGTGTCTGAGGGGGCGAAGCGCTGGCCTCTCGCAGTGACTCGGGCGGTTCACCCTTCGCCGTGGCGTTACTCCACCGGCTCCCGATTCCCCTCCCTCCCTCGGGGCAGCCAGGATTGCGTCCGGCTCCGGACAGCCTGCTGGCTGCACAGCGCCCCGAGAGAAACTGCGCACGAGCCGGGGGTTCACTTCTAAAAGTTTTGCGGTTTTGTGGCCTTTGTCCCCTAAAGCATCAATAATACCTGATCTAGGTGGGGGGTGTCTTTCTAACTCCCCTGTAAAACTTACACTTCAGGACGTTTGTCCCGCAATCTTAAAATTGTCTTGCGCCGTCAGATTAAATAATACTGCTGCTGATTCTTTCCGGTACTACTGAGCGTCTCTCCGGATGACAGTCCGTGAAGGTTTTACTTACTCAGCCTTGACACGAACACTACTTACACTTTTATCCCACATCCTTCTACGTCTTGCGTTATTACGTAACGATTCATGATATAAAATCATTTGGCAACCTGGTTTCAAACAGATTGTTCCAAAATTACTTTTCAAATGAATCCCAAGATCAGTGCTTTTTGTTTAGCTGATGAGTCAAAAAAGACCCTCCTCCTGTAAGTGTTAATCTCACTAATATGATGAATTAATTTGAATTAACCTTGGGAGTCGTTAGTACCTTTCAAGGAGTACTTTGTGAGTTAATGGATTCTTAATTGCTTAATTGGTCCTCTAATCATTTGCTACTAAATATATTGACATTCATATATATGAATGTAATGATATATTATATAATGTTAACAGACGCAAGTGTGGATGAGCGACAGCAGAGTGATGATTTTGAGCAGCCGGTGGTGTTGAGCCTTTAGCTGAAGGAGTGATTCCTGAGCTGGATCTCCGGGTCTCGGCCTGTAAACGGTTAATTTCAGCAGCGTCGCTCGCCACTCAGTCAGAAAGCCTGACGCGAGGAGCACACAGTCATCCGAATAGCGAGACACGGAGGCTGTGAAAGAACGCCGGCGCGTCACGAAAGGGCCTGTTTGATGGCTTCACAGGTTTGTCATTCCGCGCCGTTGCGTGTCTTCTGCAGCCTGCCATGCACCGCACTCCGGTGTTTGCCGGGCTGACACTTCAATACCATATTTCGGCAGAAACGGCTTTTTTAAAAACTTCTCAGGAAGGGGGCTGCAAGAGTGGAGCAGACACGCACCGCTCAGCGAGCTGGTACTTGAAGTAGGCGTCGAAAAGCAGTCGTTCCCAGCGCACAAAATTTCCTAGGTCAGCTTCCGGCTTCGGGTTTCTTATTTAGGTTTTGAAAAAAGACGGTTCCGCTCAGGAGTGTGTAGCCGTTATTTCCCGGGTGTTTATCTAACAAGACCTGCCCCGAAAACAGCAGAGCACGCGCCCACCTGAAGGACAAACACAGTGGGCCTGACCGGGTCTTGTGGGGAGCGAGGCGGACTTGTGTTTAGAGTCAGCAGAAGGCTTCTGTTCATCAGCTTAACAGATCGTTCAAGATCCTTGAGGTCATTCAAGGACTGAAGTGGTACAAAAAGCCAGTCTGACTGCTCTATTCCAGAGGCTCCCAATCCTATTCCTGGGGAACCCCGCTCAGTTAAATAACTGACCCCTTAACAGTTAGTTTGAGCCCTTCAGTTGTGTTCAGTTCCTAAACATGTTGCAGTTCCGTCCTTTAACAGTTGTTTCTTTAGTACCTTGAAATCTCACGCCTTTGAGTAGAAACAGATCTTGCCAAGGTTCCAGCCCAGCGGCTAGCTGGTTCAGTGAAGGACTGAGTTGAGAAAAGCACTCAGCTGCAGTGACAGCCTGCATTCCCTACCACTGGGAAGCCCTGCTCTAGCGTGAGGCCGATGGTGGCCGACAGTGAGCGGTGGTGCTTTTCAGAGGACATGAGGTGCCGTGCTGTTGCAAAGACCGCATGAAGCACAGAGCAATCTCTGAAAGCTGCAGTTAGCCTCCGGAAAATATGGGAAACGGAAACCAGTGTATGTACAGTTAGGGTGAAACACCGCAGGAAAGCTGCGAAAATACCAGGCAAATTCACCGCAGGGGTGAACAGCAGTGCACGCAGACAGGCCGAGCCTGGCAGGCTGGTGTAGTAATATGAGAAGTGACTTGGGGGCTCCCCTCACTTTCCCCCCACCTTCACAGCCAGGCATATCAAAGGCTCTCAGACAGAGGCAGGCCGCCCACTGCTCCGAGCACGCTGAACTGCCTTTTCATTCTTAGACAACGTCTGCTGAATAGCTGATGCGCAATTCCCATCTGCACGATCGACGCACTCCAGCCGTTCACATTTTCCTTCCTCTGTGTCCTTCTGGGCTCCCCTCCTCCCAACAGTCACATCAGGGTGGCTAGAACCAGCCTGCCCCCCCCTTCTTGGTCCCACGTTGGACTCCCGGTGACTCCCATCTTCCGGGGTCACACGCCCGCTCAGGCAGGGGTCTCATGTGCGCAGGCCTGACGCCCAGCCTCAGCCCCGTGAGACGTCAACCCTGCCGGTCAGGAAAGGGAAGTCTGAATGGATGGGGGCGGGAGGGAGAGGAAGAAGGGTGCAAACTGGGGAGTCTGCATAAGAGGGAAAGAAAAACTGTGAGAGAATGCGCAATTCTGCGAAAGTAATTGGGCACTTTTTAAAGAAAACAGTGACCAGTACACAAAACAACGTATTAATAACGTTTTGCAGTTGCCTTATCAGGAAGCTTTTAATTTAAGATTCCATGTTCTTTTGGATTTTTCTGCTTCCTGAGCTCAGTGTCTGGATGGTCTGTGAATCTGAACACGCTGAGTGCCTTGTCCTGTTTGGAGACCCCAGGGGACAGGAGACCCCAGGGGAGCACAGGCCGTGCAGCCGGACGAGGGGCTGGACTGTGTTTGTGCACTGCGATGCTGCGGTCAGCCTGTCAGTGAGGACAGGAGGGTTGGGGTGGTGGTGGCAGGAAGTGAGTGGGGCCTGTCAGGCTCAGAAATGAGACACAATAGGAAAAAAAAACACACTGACCTGTTTGTACAGTGGTGGTCATTACTGCTTACAGGACTCTACTCACGCAAACCCATCAGACAAAAGAGGAATATGGTACACAACAGGAGCAAGCCTGTGACACCCAGAACACTGAGATACAGGGCAGTGCACTGCTAATACTGCTGCTGTTACTGCTGCTGCTAATATCTCCTCTGTTAATACTGCTGATACACTTCTGTTACTGCTGGTACTTACATTGCTGTTGATACACTTCTGTTACTACAGATACACTGCTGTTACTACTGCTGATACCACTTCTGTTACTGCTGATACTTACACTGCTGTTACTACTGGTACTTACAGTGCAGTAACTCTAGGCCTGGCAGTGCTCTGCCAGTTCTGCAGCTCTCACTTGGGGAAATCCGGGCCGACAGCAGAAGCCCACACGGCGAACTGCAGAGCCTGGGCTACAGGTCTGGGAGGCTCCTGTGGAGCTTTGTTCGTGCGGGGCTGCTGGGAAACGAGTACACAAGACCAGGAGAAGGGTGGAGAAGACGTTGAGACGGTTTGGGTTCTGGCAGAGCACACCCTAAACCTGCCTTCTGCTCCCCCTGTTGACAGGAAGCACCCAACCATCTGCAAGACGTTCCGCTGCGAATACTGCGGCAAGGAGTTCCTGGACAGCCTGCGCCTGCGGATCCACTCCGTCGTTCACTCCGGTAAGGAATGGGCCGTGTCCCACTCTCCCTCCCCGGCTGCTCCTGTTGGCCCTGCGCTTCCGCCAGTGTTACACAGAGCATCAGAGCTCCTTCTTAATCCCCTTAAATACCCTGCATTGCGCCAGGTGTGTTTATGTTTTTCACTGGATTTATATTTGTTTAAAATTGGGCATGTAAAACGGAGCCTAGAACACAAGGTAATGTGCTTTACAGGCGAGAGTGTTCAGGAAAGAGACACTACACGTTAGCAGCAGGTATGTGTGTCAGCACGAGCAGTGCGCAAGAGAGACACACAGAGGTGCGGTTAGTGAACGGAACGAACAGTGTGTTCTGGAGTACAGCCGTGGTTTTGACACGCTGCCAAGAAACACTGCCTTGGTGTGTGTGTGTGTGGTGCGTGTGTTCGCATGTTGCGTTCACTTATGCATGCGTGCGTGCTCTTGCGTGTGCAGGGCTGCAAGCAGCTGATGCGTGTTACAGTGTGGGAGCCGTGTTACAGTAGCCCTGTCAGGGACAGTTCAGAGACAGGGGGCAGGCACGCCACACTCCTGCGATCATGTGCATGCAGGTTGATGGCCGCCTACTCCTTTTTCTTGTAATATGCATATATATAGAGTCTTGTATTTTTTAAATCTGCTGTATTTAACCACTAAGGGTTGCGGACAAAATTTATATGTCCTGTCAAGGCATTTCCAAGAAGCTTTGTCAGTACTGACGTTATCGCCTGCGTCTCTCGGCATGCTTTTTCTGGTCCCAGATCTTACCAGCTCTAGTCTCAAGGACTGCAGCCGAGAACAGCTCTGCTGCTCCAGTGAGCCGGACTGCATCATGGATTAGCAGCCAGTGTAAACAGTCTATCTAGTCTGACATCTCTGTTTCGGTTCATGCCCAGCTCAGACGACTTTGGTAGGATCTGGATTTGAGAGGTTCTGTGGTAGGGAAGCAGTTATCTGAAGCACAGTGCTCTGAAGCCCATCAGTGACACAACTTGCACCCAGACTGGTGTCATTTCCACTCCCCACCTCCTGATCCCCTCCTCACCCTGTGTTACCCCCCCCAGCAGGAAGGCAAGGCCGTTCCAGCAAAAAGCATCACCTTGTCTGGGTGTTGTTTTAGTTTTGGTTCTGGACTCTCGGCTTGGCTTTGTCAGGAAACAGAAAGCTGCCTTGATTCTTGAAAAGGGTTGGAGGCTGGGGGGAGGGGAGGTGTGAGTGGTTAGCCAGCTGTTTGGCACTCCAAGGGTTAAGTCCGCAAGGCTGTTCACTTACTAAAATAGGTGATAAATGAGCGTCTTTCAATTGTTGTGGCCTCCTGTTTCCTCTCTATACCGTTTCCTGTTCTGCGTACTGTCTTTAACACTAACAAGGTGAAGACAGACCGAATAGTGGTGTTCTGAAAAAAAATGTGTAGTCAAAGCTGGTTATCATCTGGCTAATCTTAGCCCTGGACCTTGCTCAACCAGAGTCCAAAATCAGGAATCCATGCTGCCTGCGGTCCTATACTACACGACTGTGTCTTATACCCATGAACCTGGGCAGCAAAGGGAAGCAGGTGAAGGTGATATAAGTGAAACTTGCAAAGTTTGCAAAGAGCAACTTGTGAGCTCAAGAAATCGTTCGCTTCAGAGCTCGGCTGCAAGGATAACCAGCAAGTGTGGGTCCCCAGGACCAGGACTGGGAGACCCCAGTTTACTCTATGAGTTGTGGGGGTCTGGAGCAAATGGCCCAGGCTTGCTGTCAAAGCAGATTCCTTGTGATCTCTCAAGAGACGGATAAGTGAGATCCCTTAGATCGTTTGCTTGAAGCTTGGGCACCTTTGGTTTGCCTCCCCTCTTAAGTCCCTGAGCCTCTGAGCTGCTGTCAGGAGAGGATGAGCTTCTGTTTAAAGATGTGTGTGGCAGGGAGGTAGAGCAGAGAGGGCTGGCAGCTCTGCAGGTATGAACTGCAGGAGCATAGTCAGGGTAAAGGGATAGTAAGATCATAGAGAGCCAAAGCCCAGAGCTTTAGGAAACCACAGCAAAGCAAACTGAAGGCAGGGTAGAAGCAGGTTAAGACTTCAAAGAAAGACTCAGTGTCATCGTAAACTTGCATAAGAGGCCTGTCAGAGCTGTGCTGTATTGTCCTAATTGTTTATGCCCGAAAAGCATTTAATACACTGTAGTTTTCTGACAGTAATGGCGCCCTCTGTTTGTGAACTTTTGAACCTGAGAAGATTCACTCATAGATGTCAGATTTACTCACAGAAGTTGTTTTAAAGAAACAAGAAAACCAGAATAAATATTGTAAAAATAAATACAGTACCAAAACAACAAAAGCATTATCTAGTGTGTGGGTGCAAGGCAAACACAAATAGAAACCGCTTCCTCTGGTTGGTGTGCACCCAGCCCTGCGCTTATCTGCCAGCTGGGTTTCAGACCTGCCTCTCAGAGAAGCCGGTGCCCCTGGTGCTGCCCTGCGGGTGAGTCCTCCTCCTGAGGGGCAGGCTGGGCCAGCGCACTTCCACAGCCGAGGGGTCAGGAGGGGGAGGTCAGTGCCGGAGCCTATGAGACACACACTCACACCTGGGCCAGTTTTCCCAGAATCCAGTTAACCCACCAGTATATCTCCGGACCGTGGGAGGAAACCAGAGCACCTAAAAGAAACCCACACAAACTGGGGAGACCATACAAACTCCACACAGACAGCACCCCAGGAACTGAACCCAGGGCCCCAGTGCTGCAAGGCAACAATGCTGAACACTGCGCCATCCATGTTCTTTTAATTTATATTATATTCTGTATTAATATTATGATAAGAAATGCCAAAGGGTGCCTTCCTGTTTTCTGTGATATCTGGCAGAAAGGGTGATGAAAAGCAGGGAGTTTGCTGCCAGCACTCCTTCATAGCTGTCCTTGGCTGTTCAACAATTTAGCAAACCACATCGCTGTTGGCCTGGATTGCAAGGGACTGTAATAACAACCAACCTGCCACTAGGGGCCGCAATAGAGCTTCCACCATTACAAATAGGCTCAGCATGTGGAGATTATTAGTGAAAGGTTCGATTCTGCGTTCCACATGGTGATAATAAGTGTTAGTGTATGCACAGAACTCCCTGGCATTCAGACGCATTCTGACAGACTGCTTAGAGTTTAAGAGTGGGGAGCTGGGAGACTGTTCTGTCTTGAGGCCAGTGCCATCTTGAGCTTTATGTGCTTTATGTGCTCAGATCCCAGGAGGGCCCGGACAATATGTGACGTCTTTCGGAACACAGTATCTCTGGCTGATTTTGTCCGTGTTGAAATGGGAAAGACGGACCGAACTGAAAAGGGTCTGTGAGGGCAATCAGTTAAAGCTCGTTAAAATAATACACATTTAGAAGAAAAAACACTTCAAGCAAAGAATTTCAGGAGTCGATTGGAGTGCATGAGCGAGCAGTCTGTCACCCAGAGTGCAGTCAGTGGAGTGCAGACACAGTGGATGAAAGCCAAATAGTTAAGATAAAATGTTTTTACACAGATTTTTTACACAATGTTTTTTCACCTTCTCTTTGACACTGGGCGCAAAAATAGTCTGATATGAAGGCCGAATGAACTGCACTTCTCAAGATAGTCGTGTTTCTACAGATCTATAAATGATAACTGCATGCTCAGAAACAAAGACATGACAAGGTGAGAAAATGACCCTCGTGGGTGTATTGCACATTTTGGTCTGGCTTTGTGATGTTTCAGTTCAGTATGGCCACAGACTATTTGGGCGTCAGGTCTAGCAATGACCAGACGCTGTTCTGGCACAAGTGGTGGACGTTGCAATTGACACAAATATCATACTACTCGTGACATATATATCCTCATGCTAAGGGCTAAGGTTGATCTGTCAACGGACGTAGTGTTCAACAATTAGCCCACAGACCTGCAAATATAACTTAAAGAACTTCATACTGCTCACAGCTGGGTCTGTAGACAAGTGTGGTTTACTGACACCTTGGTCAGCCCCTCATTAGAGAGTGTTAGGGAGGTGCATTGTGTTGCTCTGCTCAGCCTTTCAACGGTGTGAACCATTATTGCCAGACATCCTAGATACAAGATGGGGCAAACCTCTCTCTGGGTTGTTCTGTGTGCTTTGGAGCCAAACCAGACAAAGTCTAATATCTGCTGGCCTAATTCAACAGGCTGGCTTTGTTCCCTTTTGTATAATTACCTTAATTAGCTGGTAGTAAAGATGTACCAACTTTCAGCCTTTGTCAGCAATTGAAAATGGGGCTGAAGGATAAGGTACAGTAGTAAACTGTTTTATCGGTGGTAGGACACCTAAAGGTTATGGATGATAACATGTGTGACCTGTAAAGAGCTTTGAGAACTGCTGCACCCAAACCCTCAGAGACCATCATTATTGTATAGCATTACAGCGATATACTATGAGTGTCCTTTTGCTTCTGATGACTGTAGCATTAAGCCGGTGTCACACTACACGACTTTCCTAGGATTTTCAGTCGTAGCCCTCATTTACACAATCGTAATAAAAGCACAGCGAGTTGTAGAGAGTCGCATCTCGCGCCCCTTACTGTCAGTGGTGTAGTGTGATCCCCCGCGACTCAGTCACAGCCAGTGAGCGCTCAGCCGGACGTACAGTGCAGACACTGCGACTGCAAGGAAAGAGGGAAAGCCAGTGTTTTGGACTGTGCAAATGCAGGAGAGGCTTGTCGAACTTGTTTCGTGGTTGTCGTTTTGTGTTTGTTGTCTGTTTACTCGTGGGTGGTGCTGCTCCTCTTATTCCAGTGTGCTCCACGTTGATCTGCTGCCAAAATGAGGCGACCTCACAGTTCTTTCTCGGCGCAATGCGAGATTTGGAACCGTGGTGTAAAGCCGTGAGGGAATCGTGTAATCAGTCACCCCCTGCGATTCCTAGTCATATTTTTAACACCCTCTAGGACAGAAAAGGCAGCTAGATTCAGCAACTGCAGTCGTTAAATTCAACATGCTCTCCAACTAGACGTTGTGTTGAGTCATGTAGTGTGACAAAGGCTTTAGTCAAATGGATAGTTAATATTCAGTTTTAGCATTCCCTGGGGGCCATTATAAGGGTCTTAGGCCACAGGTTTCACAACACTAAATGAGTTGAATGGTGTTAATTGGTTCAATTAGATCAACAGTAGCTCAGATGATCTCCGAGGATCTCCAGCATCAGAAGTGATCCCAGGGGGCTGTCCTAACTCTAACGGCAGTTCTGGGGTGAAGAGAAACACTATGACTGCAGGTCTGGGACTAATCCGCTGCTGCCCTCCTCCTCTCTCTGCAGTGCCCAACCCGTCCCCCCTTTGCCCTTTCTGCAGAAAGACCTTTGACAGCCAGGGGGCGCTGAAGAGCCACCTGGCCGAGCACACGCGGGGCTGGAACCACGTCTGCCAGGAGTGCGGGCGTCCTTTCCCCAGCCACACCGCCCTCCGGAGGCACCAGCGCTCACACACAGGTCAGCGGGGCCTCACTCCTACCAGAAACACCCCCCTTGAACTTAGTCACACATCCTGGGATCAGCCAGGGTAGTCAGGCCCTTATCTCCTTCAACACCACCTGCACGCAGATCACTGTGGTCAAACCCAGCTCCCCTTAACTTGCCTGCCTTTAGGACTGTAATACACAAGTCAGGCTGGCCTCCCCTTTAACGTCCCCCAATCAGGCCACACTGGAATTCCCTTCGTCTCTACATACGCTTGTCACATCCTAGACTGGGCACTAACCGATTCCCCGACCCACCCTCCCCGTGCGCAGGTGAGCTGACCTGCGAGTGTGACTACTGCGGCCGGTGTTTCCGTGACGACAGCTCCCTGCGGAGTCACAAGCGCGTGCACACCGGAGAGAAGCCATACCAGTGTGAGAGCTGCAGCAAGAGGTTCAGCCTCAAACACCAGCTGGACACGCACTACAGAGTGCACACAGGTACCGTCTCCCTGTCTGAACACACTGCAGAGAGCACAGGGGTACTGTCTCA